ACTACAAGAAAGAATCCTTTTATACCACCTTTATTTAAGGACAATGAATGTATAAAATAATTTTTTAAAAACTGGCTTTTGGAGGCACCTGGGTGGCTCAGTCATTAAGCGGCTGCCTTTGGCTCAGGTCATGATCCCAGAGTCCTGGGATCAAGTCCCGAGTTGGGCTCTCTGCTCGGCAGGGAGTCGGCTTCTCTCTCTCTCCCTCTGCCTGCCTCTCTGACTACTTATGCTCACTCTTTTGCTCTGTCAAATAAATAAAATCTTTAAAAAATAAAAATAAATAAAAAATAAAAACTGACTTTTTTATTAACAATATGGATATTTCAAAGTGACACTTGGAGGTAAAAACAAATGGCCCCTGCTTCATGTCACTTACAAAAGGTACAAGAAAAACAGCATATTTCTCATCAAATGCCATCCAATTAGATATTTCTTAATTGGATATTTAGGTTCTGTGTGAACAGTAATATCCATATGGTTTTATTGTAATATTATGTATATACATATATATGCATTTAATTGGCTTTATGTTCCCCTCATTCTGGGACACCAATGTCATTCCACTGTTACCAGGAACAAACGGAATCCTTTCTCAAATTTCCACTCACACAAACAAGAGATACTTGATCATTTAGGAATTCAGAACCTAAAGTCAGAGATTTAGGCCAATGTAGTAATTCTCCTGGGGTATTCATGGGTCAAAACTAAGGGAAACAAAAGCTAAAGTAAATATTCTCTCAACCTAATAGAACACAAAGCTCAAGGATGTCTCATCAATCCTGGACCTTCCATAACACACACTAAACAAATACGCTGTTGAACAGGTGAAAGATGAGCACCATGACTGTTCTCTGGTCTTACGCAAGATGATAGCCCTACTGTGTGTGCTCACAAAGGAGGAGAGTGCCCTTCTCCAACTGTCATGTTCTTGCTGGTAATATTAACCATACTTCATACTTGTAAGGTGTATTATTATTTTTTAAAGAGCAGTTTCTTGATCCATTCATTATCCTTTTCCATCTGTCATAAGAACTTCCCCACCATCACCCACAAATCCTCCCACTCCTGCTATGAACATTTTACACAAGTGGAATATAAATCCCTCAGAGTGTCTTGCCCAAGCTTTCAGTTAGCATATCATAATTCTGGGAGTCTATTTGTGCACTAAAGGTTTCCATTATTCATTGTGGCCAATCTAGTTTTAATAGATCAATCAGAACACTGGCATGTCAGGTACAGAAAACATATCAAAAATGCTAGGGGAGGACAGGGATGGTTGACATAATAAACCCAAAACCCACCCATGTTTCCTCAAAAGCAGCATATATTCTTTTAAGATTTAGGGAGGTATACAAGTAAATATATTAATAGTTATGTATTAGTTTAATTGTGTACTAGAAAAATATGTCACTCCCATATCAAACCCATAACTTCAGAGATAGTAGAGCTTAGGACAATGCTAAGTAAAAGAATTCAGACACTTTAAGACTATTTTTTAAAAATTATTAATATCTAATAGTATATACAGTATAGAGGAATAACCAAAAAACACTTGTAACATACACTAATGTCTCAAGTTTGAAAAACTCTCAAAGAAAGAAAAGCAGTAATTTGTAAGGCCATCTGCACAATACAACACAAAAGAATAAAACCATGTGAACAAATCAGCTACTATTTCTAGAGCAAATATAATACTGGAACTGGAAGAGACTTTACAGATCAACAAAACCAACTCGAAATAAGAAAATGAAATCCAGAGAGGGTAAGATCCACAGAAGCTAAAATTACTGAGCCAATTAGCCACCACGCTGGGACTAAAACACGCAGCTTACCCCTGATTCCAGGGACCTTTAAGTGGCTGCCTCTCTCTTAGCTTTATGTTTCAGAGACATCCACTGTTGAAGAAATTAAACTTAATTTCCATTAACTGCACACAATAGGCTATGTCATTTGTTTTTCTACTAGGATTTCTTCTATTTCTCTGACATTTTCTTAAGTGTCCTTGCACAAACCCAAATGACCCAGAATACAAATTCCACCACTACCGCAATTGCTTACAAAAGCCAGGGCAAGTAGTTCACAGATGAGAAAAGAATGAATATGAGAAATTAATTCCAATCAGGCTCAAAACTTAAAGTGCATTGCAAAAGCCAATTAAATTTAAAATTTAGAGAGTCAAAGGGATTTTTCAAAATGGCCCAGACTTTTAAACACACATTTAAAAAGCAAATAAAAAAGCAAATGGTCAGAAGAAGAATATACATCTATGCGAAATCGTAAGTGGCCAAGTGTAAAGGGGGCTTGGATGATAGCAGGATGGAGTTATGCAGGACTGCTCTGTGGTTGCTAAAGCAGTAGTTTTTCTATTCAGCCATTTAAAGATATCCATTGGGGGCGCCTGGGTGACTCAGTTGGTTAAGCATCTGCCTTGGGCTCAGGTCATGATCCCTGGGTCCTGGGATCGAGCCCCGCGCTGGGCTCCCTGATCAGTAGGGAGTCTGCTTCTCCCACTCCCTCTCCCTCTGTGCTCACGCTCTCACTCTCTCTCTCTCTCTCAAATAAACAAATAAAATCTTTAAAAAAATAAAAATAAATAAAGATATCCATTGATCATTGGTTTAATCTATGTAGTCTGCCTTTCACAGTAACGCTAAATACCCCCCATGCCTCTGAGTTCCCATGAAAGACATAACGACCCGACAACAAATTTTGCTGCTGCCACGGCTGCTTACACTACCTACCACTGGCTAACAATTCTGGGTCATTCACTGTATTTGCTGCCTTACTGAGTGCTTACCTTACTTACTGTATGTGTCCATTGAATCCTCACAGTCCGTATTATTTTCCCATTTCTCAGCTAAGAAACCTGAGGCTTAGAGAAGTTAAGTCACTTGCCACTCACATGGTAAGTGGTAGAGTCTGAATTCAAACCAAAAATCTGACTCACAGACCCATCTTCCAGTTTCTGTGGTAATTTCCACGACGGCATGTACATTATCATCTCGTCTTCTGTGTAGCAGGAATCCATGGAGTCGGACGGATGGGGTTAGGAAGTGAATATAAAACGTGAACAAGGGTGAGCTGCCATAATTTCACGCACCAATACTGCTTTAGGCACCCTATATAAAATAGTGACGGTTTATGCTAAATAAATCATTATTAGTGCACGAGGTGCAATAAATCCCACAAAAGGTAATTAAGGTTTGCCTTTCTAACGCATGAATATGTGTAAGGGCATCTGTGCGGACAGTTGTTTGGGGAGCACTGCTTGGAAACCAAACAGAGGCTGCATGACGCTCTGCCTCATCGACAGGAAAGCAATGGATGGCAGAGGCCACACATACTTCCAAAGACAAAACGGAGCGCGAGGAGGCAGGCATTCCTGGGGCCCCCGTTATGACACCCATGCTTGATGCGGGTTACCTCAACCCTTTCCTTCTTCACTAAAGGAAAGAACAGAACCAGATGAAAAGAGCGGTAGAAATGTGGAAGTGAAGTGCTTCAGCGTTGAACAAATAAATGATCCGCAGAGAGGTGAGAAAGCAGAAGAAATAGCGCTAAACTCCAAAAGTGGTTCAGAAGAAACCCTCCAGAAAGAAAAGACATGGATTTATGATATAGTTGTTCACCATATAACACTCTGAAAGATGAAACAGCACAGCAAATAGTCAAAATAAAACCTTTGTTCAAGGAGCCCCTGAGGTGACTGGGGGCTCCTAAAGGCAAGGTCCCTCAAAGACATCCAATGAGGATACGTTAAGCATGTGGGTTGCACAAGAGCACATGTTCACTTGCTTTTTAATATCCTCTTTACGCTGATGAAGTAACTCCACCTTTCCTGCCTGAAGTGTCACGCCGAGCCTGACCTCACGGTGAAAGAAAAAATTAGGCTCGCTCTCTGAATAACCCAAACAAGCTCAGAAAGTACTGGAACAAGAAGGCAACATTCAGAAAAATACATCTGAAACAGATATAATATTTTCGAGTTACAAAGCATTTCGGCATTTAGAACATTAAAACAAGTATGGTAAGGTCACTTCAACAGCATTTGAAGTTCTGACCAGCTGGCACACCAATCAGTCACCAGTTCAGCTCATTCTAGGTTCCGAAGTCAGTCTTTGCCTGAGGTAATAGAGCAGAAGTCTAAAGCCCTGTGGGACAGCATTCTTGCTCTGCCCAGTAGCAAATGCAGGCACAAGAGGAGTGAACATATAATCCAAGATCATGTTAATGGGAAAGTATTGCCAAGTGACACAGCCAAATGAAACAGCTTCGGTAGAAAGGCTGAGAACAAGAGAGAAATGAGGTGATAACTACGAATTCACGCTATGCAAACCAGCATTTTAATAAAGAGGAAGAGGGAGGAAGTGAAAGGAGAAGGGGAAGGAAAAAGAGGAGAAAGGAGGGCAGAGATGGAAGAGAAGGAAGAGGAAAGGAGGAAGAGCTTTCAAATCTCAACAACAGTGCCTAAATAACACTTCAGTCTGCCGATGCGTTGTTTCAGAATGAAGCTATGCCTACAGTCACAAAATATTTCTGCAAGCTGACATTTTTTAAACTGTTTCATTTAGCTGTATGACTCTACTGGAAAGGATGTGACTCAAAAGATTACCAGCTTAATTAGATGGGGGCAAAAAAGTAAAAAGAATATAGTCTTTGAGTAACAAGTAAAGAGAATTCTTTGGCAGTTGGGAGTGGGGAGGAGGGAGCAATAAGAAGGGGGTAAAGTGAAAACCCAAAGGTGCCCACGGAATATGAGACACTTATTAAATAGCTCTGCATGACAAAGCTTCTTTCTGATGGATTTTGAAATTTCTTGGAGCTGGGAACAGGATGCCAGAGAACTAAGTTCTACACAGAAGAATGGCTCAGAACAACACCTTCCCCACTGACAACAGAAAAAGGGACCCAGAGAGGAGTCAGTCTCATTCAGAAGTTTTCTGGAATGACTGCACTGCAGATTACATGATACAAATGCTCTCCTCCTTCTTACTCACGAAATTATCAGCAAATTCCACATCGGTCATAATGACTTTGTTATTACGGGTCTCTTACAGGAACTAAGAGAGGTTCCCACTTCCGTGTTCTGCCGAGCAGTAGGTGAAAACAGAGGGTACATCAGTGAACACAGACATAACATTGACCAGAGAGACTTTTTTATTCCAAATTGTATAGCTTCAAAACTATAGGCCAGTATAAAACCAGTGCCATCTAGAGGCAAAGAAAACAGGGAACTGCGACCACTGGCGATGGTGCACAATCTCTTCAACAACAACAAAAACCACTCTTTGCTATCCCTTATGAACCCATTTTTTAAAAGATTCTTATCTAGGGGCGCCTGGGTGGCTCAGTCAGTTAAGCGTCTGCTTCAGCTCAGGTCATGATCCCAGGGTCCTGGGATTGAGCCCCAGCAGGGAGCCCGCCTCTCCCTCTCCTTCTCCCTGATGCTCCCCCTGCTTGTTCTCTCTCTGTCAAATAATTCAATAAAACCTTTCAAATAAATACAGACATACATAAATACATAAATAAATAAAAGATTTTTGGCTAACAAGTTGCATTTACTGAATAGTAATACTTTATAAATTAGAGACACATAACTGATACCAGTTGATATTTATTTTTCTTTGTAGACTTCTTCACCTCTTTAATTGTATGACTTTCAAAGAGATAAAAAGTAGGGTTTTGGGGTTTTTATTTTTATTTTAGGGAGAAAGAGAGCAAGCATGGGGGGAAGGGGCAGAGGGAGAAAGAGTCTTAAGCAGACTCCACACTGAGCGCGGAGCCCCATGCAGGGCTGGATCTCATGACCCTAAGATCATGACCTGAGCCGAAACCAAGAGTCAGATGCTTAACTGACAATGACACTCAGGCGCCTGAGAAGGAGGGTTTAAGATAAGACAATCCCAAAGACACAATAGAGAGAACATTAAAATTGCTTGTTCAACTCAAGTTTCTGAATTATCAGTAGACAAAGATTCCTCTCCCTGCCAAAGATAATTGAAAAGGCCACAGCAAGAAGGCTTGGAAATAAATAAATAAAAATAAATATAGGTAATAATATATAAAAACTGGTTCACTAATTGTGACAAATATGCCATACTAATATGTCAATAACAGAGGAAACTGGGTGTGGGATACACAGAACTCTGTATTGTCTCTGCAATTTTTCTGTAAAACCTAGAAAGATTCTAAAATAAAAAGTTTATTACAAAATTGAATATAGGGACTACAGACTCCTTTGACGTCAGCTGCCAAAGAGAGATTAATGCCCAAAGAGCAATATTCCGAACTCTTAATGTGAAAGAAGACAGGCTACCATGATTTGTAACCAACTGAGGAGCAACAGGAAAGACTCCATAACTTCAAGAATTAAAACCACCTTAGCAGATGCTCATGCATGTCTTCTTAACTACCTGATGAATTTAGAACTGCCTCCATAGGCATGTGCTGAGTCAAGAACCAAACCTTGGAGAAAGTACTAGCTGTTCTGTCTAGTCAACTTCAGAGACTAATCAGGTATGTCACTCCTTAAAGGTGTCTGTCTCACCTACATTACTTCTGCCAGGAAAAAAAAAAAAAAAGACCTTTCCTTCTTACTGAAAAAGAGAACTCATCAGATAGGAAACCCCTTCCATTCCCAGTTATAAATGCATTTGCCTTGGGGCGCCTGGGTGGCTCAGCGGTTAAGCGACTGCCTTCGGCTCAGGTCATGATCCTGGAGTCCCGGGATCGAGTCCCGCATTGGGCTCCCTGCTCGGCGGGGAGTCTGCTTCTCCCTCTGACCCTCCCCCTTCTCATGTGCTCTCTCTCTCTCTCATTCTGTCTCAAATAAATGGATAAAATCTTTAAAAAAATAAATAAATAAATAAATAAATGCATTTGCCTTGCAGTCATCCTTCAGCCCTTCACGTCCACTGTAATTTAAAAATTAAAAAAAGAAAGAAAAGAAAAGAGCACCTTCCTCTGGTCAGGCGCCAGGCCTTCCAGTGACAAGAATATACCTTCGCCCAATCACTCTCTGTCTCCTCCGAAGTTCTTACTTAGAAATCGTCGCACATCTCTTCTTCTTTTATTCTCTTTTCTGGCTCTTTCTCCTCAGTACAAATATTTAACTCTTCCCTTTCAACAGTCCACAAAAGACACGAAGCTCCCTGTCATCCCATGTCATGCTACTACCACCCGCTCCCCTCTGCCCAAGTAAGTCGGCTACTCTTTCTTGGTCGTCTTCACAGCTTCCCTTTCCTTCCTTTCCCGCCATTGACCGTAAATCTCCACCTCCATCCTAGGCAACCGTGCCAGGGCCCAGACACATCCAAGCGCCTGTCTACTGAACAAGGCCACCTGCAAATCCTCCATCGAGACGTATCCCAAACTCAACTAGCTCTCCTGACCCCAACCCCAGAACCTACTTCTCCTCCTGTCATCCCAAACTCTAGCAATGGGACCAAGAAAGCAGATCAAATACTTTCCCCTTTCCCTCACTTCCCTACGTGCAGCCACCAAATCCGGTAAATTCTACCTCTTTAACATCTTTCAAGTCCATTCTTTCTTATCTGTCATCCCTATTGTTTCTTTGGCTTGGCCTGCATTGATTTTCTCTCAGATGATTATAAATGATCTTCTAACCAGTCTCCTCATGTCCAATGCTAACTACACTGCTCCATTCCATGGGCTAACCTAACAGAATTATTTTTCTAAAATGCCAATCTGACTTACGTCATTCTCATACTTAAAAATTATTAAAGACTCCTTAGTATTTTTAAACTAGAGCTCAAATTCCAAAGTTACATAGAAGGCCCTTCATGAAGCAGTTTATACCTCTCTCTAACTTCATCTTCTATCACTTCCCCATGCTCCAGCCACCCCACGACACATGTTTCATTTCCTCGTGCCTTCAAATATGCTACTACCACAACCTGGAACAGAACTCCGCTTCTCTGCCAGGATAACTTCAAACTTCTCTCGAAGATTCTCTGGTAAGCCTCCTACTATTACCCCAGGGATAAACATTTCCTCCTGTGCCTTGGCCATATCTCTTTCACTGTGCTGACTGTTGAGTTTCTAGTATATTTATCTGTCTCCTTCATCAGGCCATAAACAACAGGAACAGCACTTAGTCAGGACCTTAGCTTACAACGATCCTGTTTCTGCTGTGGTTCCTAAGAACACATGGCATCCAAACACAAAGGCGATCTATATCAAACTCAGCTCAACAAAAACCTGTCACTAAGCAGATAGCCTCTGAGTCCCAGGGACTAGCCAGTCACCTGGAGAGTGACAGATAAAGCCTCTAATTCTGATGAATACAGCCCCATATATTTGGCAGGCCCACTGCTTATTAATTCTTGGTTCACAGGCAGAGCAATAAGTAAGAATCACTTCTAAAAAGAAGCATGTTCACATATCTTACCATAGGAACTCCCAAGCCCTCATTCCCCCTGAATGCAAAAAGCAAATTCAATTATGTTATTCAAATCCAACTAAAGCATTTCAGCAAATATTAAGTATTCAAATCACTTTGGAGGAAGGACTGGGATGTCTTAGTGAGATGAAGAGACAGACATATTAAAGGGATAGTAGACTCATCCAAGTGGATTTCAGCTGCTAATTTCCACAGTTTTTAATTTCTTTAAACAACTGGGCCCTAAGTGAAATCTTCTACTGCTCATCATTTGGGAGGACTTGTGTTTGAAAGGGCCCAGTTAAATACAGCTCTGTCCAGGGGTCTCTGTGGGAAGTCCACTCCTGTTCTAGCTAATTGATACTGAAGCAGTTTTGTCATTCCCTGGATTTTCTGTAACGTACCACATGCCAATTAATCAAGTTACAGAGATTAGCACAGGGGAGGGAAGGCATTAAAGCTCTGCACTGCAAAAGTAGACTTTATTTTCTCTCCCTACTCCTTATCTCATTTCCTCTCCTTGCTATGGAACTTGCTGCCAGTAGAGTAATGGGAAGAGATTTGAAACAGTCAGTGTTCTGCGGTGGAAGATACTACAAAAATACACTGGTAGTTGAAAAGCAACTTCTGCCAGGCAGTTGAACAAAATATTGGCTGTCAAGGGGGCTCTACAAACGAGAAGTTCGAGTTTCAAAGGCTTTCTCAGGGAACCCCCCATACTAGACCTTCATTTGCAAACTCAAACAGGTCCCCACTGAACAACACAATCTTTCCAAATCTCCCCTAACTGAAGCCTCCATAAGAGAAAACTCAAGTTAAATATATCATAGAGGCTGTTCACTTCCTTGTTTAGTGACAAAACACATGTTCTGAAGAAGCCAGGGTCAGGAAATCCTCAGAACAGCAAGTCGGCGCCCACCTGACTCCACACAGCTGTCTTCCCCGCATGCGCAGAGGCTGTGCTCTGCAACGATGTCAGGGGAGCGTCATCAGTGACTCCCGGCTCCCCTTCCCTGAGATACTGCCAAAGGCTTCTGGCTAGTTCGGAAATCTGGTCAGCTTTTTTGCCTGCCTTTATTAACTCTAGCATATCATGACAAGTTTATTTTTCAGCACTTTTCTTCTCTTAGGGGTTCTCCTAGGGGTACCAATGGGAAAAGGAAGTAGATTAATATTTTGCCAAGCTCTAGCCTATAGAGAGAAAACATCAGAAACTTCAATCCATCAAAGCAAGGAAATACGTGAAGCTGTACACAAACTACATGAGAGATTAAATGTTTGGACACGTGGAGGCAAAAAGCAACAATGGCAACAATAAAAAACAGCCAGCCGGCCCTGGCGAGAACCGGTTCTCGTGACAACCCCCATTTAAAGGGGAAGAAAACGTCATCCATTCTGCTGTCACCTTTCAAAAGGTGATCTCTTGTCACCCTCTTCCTAGGTCATAATGACAGATAAAACAGAGAGAAAGAGATTCCATTTTCTTCTTCAGGTGGCTAAACAGCTCATTCACGATGCCAGTGGGTGAAATGTAACAGGACCACGGCCCCATCTAAATTCTATCACCACTCTAAAGGAAGATGACAGGAGACATATTACTAATCAGTCAACAGAAAAGATAGCAGTGGCTTTAAAAAAA